GGAAGGATGAGGGGAAAAGGGGCAATGGGGGAAGAGGGTTGAAATGGGTGAAAGAAGGAGGAAGGCTGCTCCCCCTCTCAATGGGTGGGGTGGGGGGGGAAGGGGGGGGGAGACTGCCAGCGTCTCTATATAACCAACATATCAGTCAAGAGTTAAAATCATATATTTAATAGTTATGCATATCATCCTCGACTGAAAGAGGTCATGTAAACATTTATAGATGACCCATCAACACTCGCGCCAAACTGACAACGGTAAACATTAGCCTACCAGCCGCGCCTCAGATATGTATATGAGGATATGTCTGTCATACTATATACATGGTATATCCGGTAGACAGAGCCCTAAAGCGTATAAGAGAATTTGTCTATCACTGTAAACACCTGAGACATCAGGCACACAGGACCGGACCCCACCTCGCTCCCACCACACACACAAAAAGAACGTACGTCGTCGTTTAGTAAAGTGTTGGTAAATGCCCGCCATGTTTCTCTCCGTGATGGGTGGTGGCGCTGTCTTGACCACTCATGGGTCTTTGGCAACAACGTCTCCTTCTGTGGTTAGCCTGGACTGTAGAGCGACGGTCTCGCCTCATGCAGGTCGGCGTTCAATCCCCGACCGTCCAAGTAATTGGGGACCATTCATTCCCCTCCGTCCCATCCCAAATCCTTATCCTGACCCGTTCCAAGTGTTATATAGTCGTAATGGCTTGGCGCTTTGCCCTGATAATTACATCCTTACTCTCTCATCTCTCTCTCTCTCTCTCTCTCTCGATCAAGAGGTGACCTAGTGGGTGTAGGGGTGACCTAAGGGTGACCAAGGGGAGACTAAACATATCCACAATGAAGCATGCCGAGGTATGCCCTCATCACACACCCTCACACTCCCGCCTCACTCATCTCCTCACACACCGTTGCCGTGCTCACTATACACTCACCCTCTAGACTCTGCTGTAAACCGTTCACACTTAACTCTTCTTATTTAACCAACTTTCAACACTTCCAGCTCTCGTTCCTCGTCTAGCTCTCCCACAGCTCCCACAGCTATAGGAGTCTTCCCCCCACAGCTATAGGAGTCTGCCCCCACAGCTATAGGAGTCTACCCCCACAGCTATAGGAGTCTTCCCCCACAGCTATAGGAGTCTGCCCCACAGCTATAGGAGTCTACCCCCACAGCTACAGGAGTCTGCCCCCACAGCTATAGGAGTCTGCCCCCACAGCTATAGGAGTCTGCCCGCACAGCTATAGGAGTCTGCCCTCACAGTTATAGGAGTCTGCCCCCACAGCTATAGGAGTCTGCCCCCACAGCTATAGGAGTCTGCCCCCACAGCTATAGGAGTCTGCCCCACAGCTATAGGAGTCTACCCCCACAGCTATAGGAGTCTGCCCCCACAGCTATAGGAGTCTGCCCCACAGCTATAGGAGTCTACCCCCACAGCTATAGGAGTCTGCCCCCACAGCTATAGGAGTCTGCCCCCACAGCTATAGGAGTCTGCCCCCACAGCTATAGGAGTCTACCCCACAGCTATAGGAGTCTGCCTCCACAGCTATAGGAGTCTTCCCTCACAGCTATAGGAGTCTACCCCCACAGCTATAGGAGTCTACCCCCACAGCTATAGGAGTCTGCCCCACAGCTATAGGAGTCTGCCCCCACAGCTATAGGAGTCTTCCCTCACAGCTATAGTTGTATACCCCCACAGCTATAGGAGTCTGCCCCCACAGCTATAGGAGTCTGCCCCCACAGCTATAGGAGTCTACCCCCACAGCTATAGGAGTCTGCCCCCACAGCTATAGGAGTCTACCCCCACAGCTATAGGAGTCTGCCCCCACAGCTATAGGAGTCTGCCCCACAGCTATAGGAGTCTACCCCACAGCTATAGGAGTCTGCCCCCACAGCTATAGGAGTCTGCCCCACAGCTATAGGAGTCTGCCCCACAGCTATAGGAGTCTACCCCACAGCTATAGGAGTCTGCTCCCACAGCTATAGGAGTCTACCCCCACAGCTATAGGAGTCTGCCCCACAGCTATAAGAGTCTACCCCCACAGCTATAGGAGTCTGCCCCACAGCTATAGGAGTCTGCCCCACAACTATAGGAGTCTGCCCCACAGCTATAGGAGTCTACCCCCACAGCTATAGGAGTCTACCCCCACAGCTATAGGAGTCTGCCTCACAGCTATAGGAGTCTGCCCCCACAGCTATAGGAGTCTTCCCTCACAGCTATAGGAGTCTGCCCCACAGCTATAGTTGTATAGGAGTCCCCACAGCTATAGGAGTCTGTCCCTACAGCTATAGGAGTCTGCCCCCACAGCTATAGGAGTCTGCCCCCACAGCTATAGGAGTCTACCCCCACAGCTATAGGAGTCTGCCCCCACAGCTATAGGAGTCTACCCCCACAGCTATAGGAGTCTGCCCCCACAGCTATAGGAGTCTGCCCCACAGCTATAGGAGTCTACCCAACAGCTCCACAGCTATAGGAGTCTGCCCCCACAGCTATAGGAGTCTGCCCCACAGCTATAGGAGTCTGCCCCACAGCTATAGGAGTCTACCCCACAGCTATAGGAGTCTGCTCCCACAGCTATAGGAGTCTACTCCCACAGCTATAGGAGTCTGCCCCACAGCTATAAGAGTCTACCCCCACAGCTATAGGAGTCTGCCCCACAGCTATAGGAGTCTGCCCCACAGCTATAGGAGTCTGCCCCACAGCTATAGGAGTCTACCCCCACAGCTATAGGAATCTGCCCACAGCTATAGGAGTCTACCCACAGCATAGGCTATAGGAGTCTACCTCACAGCTATAGGAGTCTACCCCACAGCTATACGAGTCTACCCCACAGCTATAGGAGTCTACCCCCACTGCCCCACAGCTATAGAAGTCTACCCCCAGCTATAGGAATCTTCCCCCCATAGCTATAGGCGTCTGCCCCCACAGCTATAGGAGTCTTCCCCCACAGCTATAGGAGTCTACCCCACAGCTATAGGAGTCTACCCCCACAGCTATAGGAGTCTTCCCTCACAGCTATAGGAGTCTGCCCCCACAGCTATAGGAGTCTTCCCCACAGCTATAGGAGTCTACCCCACAGCTATAGGAGTCTGCCCCCACAGCTATAGGAGTCTGCCCCCACAGCTATAGGAGTCTACCCCCACAGCTATAGGAGTCTGCCCCCACAGCTATAGGAGTCTGCCCCACAGCTATGCCCCCACAGCTATAGGAGTCTGCCTATAGGCCGCAGCTATAGGAGTCTGCCCCCACAGCTATAGGAGTCTGCCCCCACAGCTATAGGAGTCTACCCCCAGCATAGGAGTCTATAGGAGTCTACAGCCCCCCCACAGCTATAGGAGTCTTCCCCCACAGGAGTCTATATAGGAGTCCCCCACAGCCCCCCCACAGCTATAGGAGTCTACCCCACAGCTATAGGAGTCTACCCCACAGCTATAGGAGTCTGCGCCCACAGCTATAGGAGTCTACCCCACAGCTATAGGAGTCTGCCCCCACAGCTATAGGAGTCTGCCCCCACAGCTATAGGAATCTACCCCACAGCTATAGGAGTCTACCCCACAGCTATACGAGTCTTCCCCCACAGCTATAGGAGTCTACCCCACAGCTATAGGAGTCTGCCCCCACAGCTATAGGAGTCTGCCCCACAGCTATAGGAGTCTACCCCACAGCTATAGGAGTCTACCCCACAGCTATAGGAGTCTACCCCACAGCTATAGGAGTCTTCCCCCACAGCTATAGAAGTCTAGTCTTCCCCCACACAGCTATAGGAGTCTACCCCACAGCTATAGGAGTCTACCCCACAGCTATAGGAGTCTGCCCCCACAGCTATAGGAGTCTACCCTCACAGCTATAGGAGTCTTCCCCCCCACAGCTATAGGAGTCTACCCCACAGCTATAGGAGTCTACCCCACAGCTATAGGAGTCTACCCCACAGCTATAGGAGTCTTCCCCCACAGCTATAGGAGTCTACCCCACAGCTATAGGAGTCTACCCCACAGCTATAGGAGTCTTCCCCAGCATAGGAGTCTGCCCCCACAGCTATAGGAGTCTACCCCCCATAGGAGTCTACCCCACAGCTATAGGAGTCTACCCCACAGCTATTGGAGTCTACCCCACAGCTATAGGAGTCTTCCCCCACAGCTATAGGAGTCTTCCCCCACAGCTATAGGAGTCTACCCCCACAGCTATAGGAGTCTACCCCACAGCTATAGGAGTCTACCCCACAGCTATAGGAGTCTACCCCACAGCAATAGGAGTCTTCCCCCACAGCTATAGGAGTCTACCCCACAGCTATAGGAGTCTTCCCCCACAGCTATAGGAGTCTACCCCACAGCTATAGGAGTCTACCCCACAGCTATAGGAGTCTTCCCCCACAGCTATAGGAGTCTGCCCCACAGCTATAGGAGTCAACCCCACAGCTATAGGAAGCTCTGGGGAGACCAGAACCAGGCCCCAGCACCACGCGGCCAAGACAAATGGTGGATGCCAAGCGTAATAGGACCATGGCCCTGGTGAGCTCTTATAGAGGTCACTGGGTCCTTCCAAAGGTCCCTGGGTCCTTCCAAAGGTCGCTGGGTCCTTCCTGAGGTCGCTGGGTCCTTCCTGAGGTCGCTGGGCCTTTCCTGAGGTCGCTGGGTCCTTCCAAAGGTCACTGGGTCCTTCCAAAGGTCGCTGGGTCCTTCCCGAGGTCGCTGGGCCCTTCCCGAGGTCGCTGGGTCCTTCCTGAGGTCGCTGGGTCCTTCCAAAGGTCGCTGGGTCCTTCCTGAGGTCGCTGGGTCCTTCCAAAGGTCGCTGGGTCCTTCCTGAGGTCGCTGGGTCCTTCCTGAGGTCGCTGGGTCCTTCCTGAGGTCGCTGGGTCCTTCCTGAGGTCGCTGGGTCCTTCCAAAGGTCACTGGGTCCTTTCAAAGGTCACTGGGTCCTTCCTGAGGTCACTGGGTCCTTCCTGAGGTCACTGGGTCCTTCCTGAGGTCGCTGGGTCCTTCCTGAGGTCACTGGGTCCTTCCTAGGGTCGCTGGGTCCTTCCTGAGGTGGCCGGGTCCTTCCTGAGGTCGCTGGGTCCTTCCTGAGGTCGCTGGGTCCTTGCTGAGGTCGCTGGGTCCTTCCTGAGGTCGCTGGGTCCTTCTTGAGGTCGCTGGGTCCTTCCTGAGGTCGCTGGGTCCTTCCTGAGGTCGCTGGGTCCTTCCTGAGGTCGCTGGGTCCTTCCTGATGTCGCTGGGTCCTTCCTGAGGTCGCTGGGTCCTTCCTGAGTTCCCTGGGTCCTTTCCGAGGTCGCTGGGTCCTTCCTGAGGTCGCTGGGCCCTTCCTGAGGTCGCTGGGCCCTTTCTGAGGTCGCTGGGTCCTTCCTGAGGTCGCTGGGTTCTTCCTGAGGTCCCTGGGTCCTTCCTGAGGTTGCTGGGCCCTTCCTGAGGTCGCTGGGCCCTTTCTGAGGCCGCTGGGCCCTTCCTGAGGTCACTGGGTTCTTCCTGAGGTCGCTGGGTCTTTCCTGAGGTCCCTGGGTCCTTTCTGAGGTCGCTGGGTCCTTCCAAAGGTCCCTGGGTCCTTCCTGAGGTCGCTGGGTCCTTCCAAAGATCGCTGGGTCCTTCCTGAGGTCGCTGGGTCCTTCCTGAGGTCGCTGGGTCCTACCCGAAGTCGCTGGGTCTTTCCTGGGTTCAGCGATTGTGTCCCAAGCCACCTCAGTCGCTTGGGACACAATCTTGGTTAATATCCCAAAGGTCCCAGGGAATAAAATAGCCCAGTTGGAGCGCAATCAGATGAAGTTCCATCACCCGCGAGCCCTCGCTCCGGTGGTATATCGTCTCTCCTTACGGAGCAACGCGAAGCAGCACTCTACGGAACACGTAGCTGTGACGGGGGGCAGAAGGACCAAACCTGACGGAACACCTGGCATAACCTCTTGACTGGACCTGATCTTACGAGCTCAATGAATGGCCTAAGATGTTGGCGACGGATGATGCTTTCAAGTTTATCTCCTCCTCGCCAGGGGGTGGAAAGAAGGGAGTTTTCATGAGGGTTTTATCTGTCCCGTCTACGGTCCTCGGAGCGAGGCTCTTCTGGGACCTTAATTCCATTCTCTTGTTTGATTAGATTGTCGGTTCTACTTGACTAATGAAGAGGAATGAAAATTTATGTCCTCTACAACGCTCGTATTTTACAATATTAGCTGTGGTGCTGCGAGGAAGCTGTACACACACGCACACACACACACACACACGCGCGCGCACACACACACACACACACACACACACACACACACACACACACACACACACACACACACACACACAGTTTTTGGGGGTGATGTGGTGGAGGCTGACTCCATACACAGTTTCAAATGTAGATATGACACAGCCCGATAGGCTCAGGAATCTGTACACCTGTTGATTGACGGTTGAGAAGCGGGACCAAAGAGCCAGAGCTCAACCCCCGCAAACACAACTAGGTGAGTACAACTAGGTGAGTACACACACACACACACACACACACACACACACACACACACACACACACACACACACACACACACACATCATCCCGGCCCAAAAGGAAAATCCGAGAAGCAACAGAAGAATCCATGGTATAATAGGGCATGTATGGAAGCAAAGAAACTGAACAAAAGGGCGTGGAGGAACTTCCGGAATAACAGAACACCAGAAAGCAGAGAGAGATACCAGAGAACCAGGAATGAGTATGTCAGGGTGAGAAGAGAAGCAGAGAAAAGTTACGAAAATGATATAGCAAACAAAGCCAAGACCGAACCAAAGCTACTCCACAGTCACATCAGAAGGAAAACAACAGTGAAAGAACAGGTAGTGAAACTTAGAACAGGCGAGGACAGGTATACAGAGAATGACAAAGAGGTGTGTGATGAACTCAACAAGAGGTTCCAAGAGGTCTTCACAACAGAACAAGGTGAGGTCACTGTGCTAGGAGAAAGGGACGTAAACCAGGCGGCCTTGGAAGAGTTTGAAATTACGAGAGAGGAGGTCAAGAGACACCTGCTGGATCTGGATGTTAGAAAGGCTGTTGGTCCAGACGGGATCTCGCCATGGGTACTGAAAGAGTGTGCAGAGGCACTTTGCTTGCCACTCTCCATAGTGTATAGTAGGTCACTGGAGACAGGAGACCTACCAGAAATATGGAAGACGGCAAATGTGGTCCCAATATACAAAAAGGGCGACAGGCAAGAGGCACTGAACTACAGGCCAGTATCCTTGACTTGTATACCATGCAAGGTGATGGAGAAGATCGTGAGAAAAAACCTGGTAGCACATCTGGAGAGAAGGGACTTCGTGACAAATCGACAACATGGGTTCAGGGAGGGTAAATCTTGCCTGACTGGCTTAATAGAATTCTATGACCAGGTGACACAGATTAAGCAAGAAAGAGAGGGCTGGGCGGACTGCATTTTCTTGGATTGTCGGAAAGCCTTTGACACAGTACCGCATAAGAGGCTGGTACATAAGCTGGAGAGACAGGCAGGTGTAGCTGGTAAGGTGCTCCAGTGGATAAGGGAGTACCTAAGCAATAGGAAGCAGAGAGTTACGGTGAGGGGTGAGACCTCTGATTGGCGTGAAGTCACCAGTGGAGTCCCACAGGGCTTTGTACTCGGTCCTATCTTGTTTCTGATATATGTAAATGATCTCCCGGAGGGTATAGATTCATTTCTCTCAATGTTTGCGGATGATGCCAAAATTATGAGAAGGATTAAGACAGAAGAGGACTGTTTGAGGCTTCAAGAAGACCTAGACAAACTGAAGGAATGGTCGAACAAGTGGTTGTTAGAGTTCAACCCAACCAAATGTAATGTAATGAAGATAGGTGTAGGGAGCAGGAGGCCAAATACAAGGTATCATCTGGAAGAGGAAATCCTTCAGGAGTCAGAGAAAGAAAAAGACTTGGGAGTTGATATCACGCCAGACCTGTCTCCTGCAGCACATATCAAGAGGATAATATCAGCGGCATATGCCAGGCTGGCCAACATACGAACGGCATTCAGAAATTTGTGTACAGAATCATTCAGAACTTTGTATACCACATATGTCAGGCCAATTCTGGAGTATGCAGCCCCAGCATGGTGTCCATATCTAGTCAAGGATAAGACTAAACTGGAAAAGGTTCAAAGATTTGCCACCAGACTAGTACCTGAGTTGAGAGGTATGAGCTACGAGGAGAAACTGCGGGAATTGAACCTCACTTCGCTGGAAGACAGAAGAGTTTGGGGGGGGGGCATGATCACTACATTCAAGATTCTGAAGGGAATTGATAGGGTAGATAAAGACAGGCTATTTAACACAAGGGGCACACGCACAAGGGGACACAGGTGGAAACTGAGCGCCCAAATGAGCCACAGAGATATTAGAAAGAACTTTTTTAGTGTCAGAGTGGTTGACAAATGGAATGCATTAGGAAGTGATGTGGTGGAGGCTGACTCCATACACAGTTTCAAGTGTAGATATGATAGAGCCCAATAATAGGCTCAGGAATCTGTACACCTGTTGATTGACGGTTGAGAGGCGGGACCAAAGAGCCAAAGCTCAACCAATGCAAGTACAACTAGGTGAGTACAACCCATGGGTGAGTTCTCACCCATCACCAGGCTGGTAAACCACCACCAGTCACCCATCACCAGGCTGGTAAACCCCCACCAGTCACCCATCACCAGGCTGGTAAACCCCCACCAGTCACCCATCACCAGGCTGGTAAACCACCACCAGTCACCCATCACCAGGCTGGTAAACCACCACCAGTCACCCATCACCAGCTGGTAAACCCCCACCAGTCACCCATCACCAGGCTGGTAAACCACCACCAGTCACATCACCATCATGCCGCTATGTTTACCAACCAGCAGGTGTATGTCGGCCGTGTTTTTCCTACCACAACACGCGCCTGTCTTCTCAACAAAGGCCCTCAACATCCCACGCTAATTGGGCCGGTTGAAGGAAATAAGAATTGTGAATACTGAACAAACATCAGTGTGTTTATTGAGAGGAAATTAATAACTTATAAATGAATACATAAGAACCTGAAGCGACAAGGAGTAACTGTAGATCATCTAACCGCAGTTAAGGTTCTGTTGTTAGGCGATTCAAACCCCGTCCACGTAATACAACGTCGCATTTTGACGTATAATCTACTTATGACCAAGAAATCGTCGTACTAGAAAATGGCAGCGGCTGGCGAAAGAGACGTACTGTCCCGTTTTCTGTTGTGGGTCCTCTGGTATGTTAGGATAAGGGCACTTTAGTAAGACATGAAAGCATTAGGAGGACACGCTGGGTGGCGAACCATTTGTTAGGGAGATGACTGTGAAGTGATCCCGTAGGTGTCTTAAGAGAGGCCGAGGGGGGGGGGGTAAGATTACTCTCAGGAGACTGTTTATAATATAATCTGCAGCGGGAATATTGGAGCACAACACTGATGGCACAATTGTGTGTGTGTGTGTGTGTGTGTGTACTCACCTAGTTGTACTCACCTAGTTGTGTTTGCGGGGGTTGAGCTCTGGCTCTTTGGTCCCGCCTCTCAACCGTCAATCAACAGGTGTACAGATTCCTGAGCCTATTGGGCTCTATCATATCTACACTTGAAACTGTGTATGGAGTCAGCCTCCACCACATCACTTCCTAATGCATTCCATTTGTCAACCACTCTGACACTAAAAAAGTTCTTTCTAATATCTCTGTGGCTCATTTGGGCGCTCAGTTTCCACCTGTGTCCCCTTGTGCGTGTGCCCCTTGTGTTAAATAGCCTGTCTTTATCTACCCTATCAATTCCCTTGAGAATCTTGAATGTAGTGATCATGTCCCCCCTAACTCTTCTGTCTTCCAGCGAAGTGAGGTTCAATTCCCGCAGTCTCTCCTCGTAGCTCATACCTCTCAGCTCGGGTACTAGTCTGGTGGCAAATCTTTGAACCTTTTCCAGTTTAGTCTTATCCTTGACTAGATATGGACACCATGCTGGGGCTGCATACTCCAGAATTGGCCTGACATATGTGGTATACAAAGTTCTGAATGATTCTTTACACAAATTTCTGAATGCCGTTCGTATGTTGGCCAGCCTGGCATATGCCGCTGATGTTATCCTCTTGATATGTGCTGCAGGAGACAGGTCTGGCGTGATATCAACTCCCAAGTCTTTTTCTTTCTCTGACTCCTGAAGGATTTCCTCTCCCAGATGATACCTTGTATTTGGCCTCCTGCTCCCTACACCTATCTTCATTACATTACATTTGGTTGGGTTGAACTCTAACAACCACTTGTTCGACCATTCCTTCAGTTTGTCTAGGTCTTCTTGAAGCCTCAAACAGTCCTCTTCTGTCTTAATCCTTCTCATAATTTTGGCATCATCCGCAAACATTGAGAGAAATGAATCTATACCCTCCGGGAGATCATTTACATATATCAGAAACAAGATAGGACCGAGTACAGAGCCCTGTGGGACTCCACTGGTGACTTCACGCCAATCAGAGGTCTCACCCCTCACCGTAACTCTCTGCTTCCTATTGCTTAGGTACTCCCTTATCCACTGGAGCACCTTACCAGCTACACCTGCCTGTCTCTCCAGCTTATGTACCAGCCTCTTATGCGGTACTGTGTCAAAGGCTTTCCGACAATCCAAGAAAATGCAGTCCGCCCAGCCCTCTCTTTCTTGCTTAATCTGTGTCACCTGGTCATAGAATT